CCGTGTTGCCCCTGGGTGCTCGTTTGTTCCCGTCCCCCTTTCCTGCCTTCCTTCGGCTCACCTGAACTCTGTGTTAGGATTCCATTCCCACGTGTCTGCTCTGTGTTTGCCTCCCCTGCGGACAGTGCTGTGTCCTGACAGCCTCCGCTGACAATGACCGCGCTGAGCTCTCCTTGGGCTCCCGAGTCCACACTCCCGCCCCTCTCCCCGCAGAGAACGCCACGCCGCCCCAGGGCCCTTCACCCGCTCCCTCGGTCACCCGTGTCTATGGCATCTGCCTGCATCGGAGCATCCTGAGATGTTAAAGAACTCAGGAAGGAAGTCTTCTCTGTTCACCCAGCTAGGCGCCCTCCCTGCTGCCCTCCCTCCCTCCCGGCACTCCGAGCGTCCTGGTGATCTCCGCCCGCAGAAGGACCCGCTGCCAGGCTTCCTCGCCCTCCTTCACCTGGGAGGTGTTTGTGAGTGACCACTCTACCTTCCTCCCCGAGGGGCATGCTCCTGGCTCACACTTCCGGGCGGACAGTCCTTTCCTTCTCACATTTAAAAATATTCCACTTCCTCTGGTCTCCAAGGTTTCTCATGAGGCATCTCCAATCCCTTCAGGTGATCTCCCACTTATCTTCAAACCTCGGCCAGGTCTGACTCCCATCACAACTCTGCCAATTGGGCATGCCCCTTCCTGCCACCCTCCCGCCCACCACTCCTTTCTGTGCATGACATCACACACATCACACACATCACTCCACGCTGTAGTGATTCAGTCTCACGCTGGGCTCGCCCACTTGTTCTCTGTCATGTGCACCAGCTGAGAGAGAGAGAGAGAGCGAGAGAGCGAGCTGCAGCTCCACTTTTACCTGTGGCCTTGACCTTACAGAGCCAATTCCACTCGAACAAGCAAAGGTGTGACTGTTACAATCAGGTCTCGATGACCACGGTAGTTGTGCCCATGACACCCCGACTCACAGGGTCTCCACAGAATGGGCCGTGTGGACATATAAACTTGGAAAAGACTCTAGGTGTATGAGGTTACTGGCAATGCGCAGCGTTTGAGTGGGTGGTAGGCACACTGCAAAGGACTAACGGCAGGCTCTCGGCAGGTGAAGAGGGGGACGCCCTGGTTTGTAGTGTTTGCCGATTCCTGTGATGAAAACTCTCCATTGGGCCGACCAAGGCCAAGTAATGAAAGTGAAGTCTCTGACTTGGGGTTTGGGAAGAGGCGTAGGAACTGGCTTTGGCACATCACTGCTGACGGCACCAATGAATGGGGGGCCCCGTCTTCCCCCTTTGGGTGTAGAACCAACTAAGATACAGAACCAGGAGGCAGATGGCGGCTACAAGGTCAGGCTTACCAAAGCTGGAATTAGATCGGGCTGCTAGATGGAACTCTTGTTCAGATACCTGTCTCTAATTCTAGAAGCATGTGCTCCCCTCGCTGATGTGGGGCCCAGGCGTGTGACTTGCTTTCTGTCCCAAGCCGAGGCCTCCAGAGTTCCTGTGCTTTGCTCGTCCTGCTGTGCGTGTGTCGTCGCCATCAGAGGGGCCAGGAGAGGCGGCACTGATGAACGAGCTGCCTCAGCGCTCACAGGCAGGCCCCCTCGGCAGACTGAGATTCCTGAGCGAAACCAAGGACTTCTGGCTGCTGTGGTTTCCTTTCGGCGGCATTACTGGGCCTCAGTCAACTCATTCAGAAAATGGCAGGGAGGCTGTGAAACAGTCCTCAAACAGGTAGCAGAGATTTGCGACTGGGCAGTGAGGAGATTTAGAGAAGGTTAAAAAGGGGCAGGGAAGTGGTGGCCCTAAGATACCCTTATGTGGTGGGGAACGTTTGGTAGGAGCGCTGTGCATGGTGATCTGGGAGGAGGAAACGCTCCTGTGCATTTATGGACTTGGGCAGCGGTTCCAGGGAAGGCCTTGTGACCTTGAGCTTCCTCAAGCCATAAAGGACAAGAATGTTTCAAGTAAAAGACGAGTTCAGAAAGGAACCCGCCATTCACATGTAGAATCTAGGAAAGGAAGTTATTTCTCATCTAGTCCTCCAGCAGCTGGAAGATCTTCAGGTTAAGCCTAGGCCTGAGGTGCCCAGACCCAGTCCAGGCCGTGCCAGAGGCACGCAGCTCTGAGCAGAGAGTCAGGGATGTGCCCCTGGGCTGCAAGGTTCTTTGTCTGAGGGCCCTGGAAGGAGACAGGGCATCCTCTCAGTGATTACGGGGTGCCTCAGAACCCTCAGGGCGTGGCCCCACACAGCCCGAAGGCACCGCCCGCCACCAATGTAGAGAGGAACTGGCCCGAGTGACTGGAACCAGCCATGCAGAAGAGCCGCAGTGTCTGAGCGGCTGATGGGCGAGTGCATTGTGAGCGTGGAGTGCAGGGGACCGAGGCTTTACAATGGAAAGGACCTCGGGCTCCCAGCTTCCTTCAGGCAAGAAGAGGGAGAGTTTCTCCACCGAATAAGGGGACAGGCCTTCCGGTGCCCGCTTCCGGAGCGGCAAGGATGACTCCCAGTGGGGGCAGCGGTCGAGCACAGGGGACTGCGGATCGCCAGGGGCACACTTCGCCAGGGTAGAGGCACGGGCACTTCCGCCCGCAGGACTTGGGTGCTGGGAACAGTGGCTGTGATGGCAGTGACCCCAGCCCTGCCCACTGCATGCTGGGTGTGTGCACAGGGCAGGGTTAGCTTCTTTAGTTCCTAAGTCTCTGGGTCAGGAAGAGCCACGTCCAGCACGAACGCAGAGCCCAGGACTAGACCCCGACCCCGATGACTGGCTGGACAGACGGGGACCAACACACTTCGATGGGGAGGACGACGCGTTGTCGCTGAGAAATGCTCTCTCCCTCACGCCCATGGATGCGTGTCCTTCCTGACATCAGGGCGATGGGTCTGGCCCTATGACTTGGTTTGGCCAAAGGAAGGAGGTGAAACCGACAGTGTGCTGGTCTTCAAGGACCCACACTTTCTTGCTTCTGCTGTCGCCACAGGAAAGCAGTGCTCAAGCCGGTGTCCTGGTCCTGGGGGAGGACGAGAGCCACAGAGACAGACCCAGGCAGCCCGCAGAGCTGCCTGCCCGGCCCAGCCAGGACCGGCGCTTCGGCTGACCAGGCTCAGGAGCTAACACACGCGTCTTGCTCCCGAGGTGGAAGGCTTCGTGGACATCGTCAGGCAGCACGATGGCGGCCATCGTTCCCTGGTGGGTGGAGGGTGCGGACACTGAACAGCCACCTCGGGCTTCTTAAAGCGGCGGCTCACCCCGCCGCAGGCAGCACCGAGCAGCTAAGGTCCTCAGCAGAGCACAGCTGCTTCCAGAAACTCAACAGGAAGCAGAGGTGCCGAGCCTGGAGCTGGGCTGTGAAGGAGGCGGAGGAGAGGGCGGGCCGGGTGCGGGGTCCCCCTCCCGAGTGTGCAGGCAGCGGGGGAGCCCCGAGGAGGCGCGAGGCCAGGGTCCACTCTGGCTGTGTCTTTCCACCAGGAAACGGCTGCCGGGGAAGTGGGGCTCCCCTGACAGGGTGGACTGGGGACGCTCTGCGGAAAGGAAACGGGCTAGGTCCCACTTTCCTTGGTGTTTCCTACGTTCCTGTACCTGCGAACCTTCTTCAGGCCACATACCTCCCCCCCCACCCCCCAGCATGGCTCCGAGTTTAAACACCCTCCACGGCTCACGGCTTCTTCCCAGTGTGTCACCCAGTGCATTTCCTCAGGGAGAAGAGGGGCACCCAGGAGAGCCCTCCCCCGCAGCCCCGCAGCCCTCTTCCCTGCTGTCTCATCCCAGTCAGAGGTCACGCCAGGCCTCACGCCCCAGTCACTGGCCCCACTGGGTGGCTGTCTCTGCCAGTGGTTGGCTGATCTCTTACTAGACCTGGGCCTCCCCTTTGTCAAAGAAAAGAGCCACATGCTAACCTGACAAGCTCAGGGAAGGCCTGCGGGGCAGTCTTGCAAACCCAGAGACCTAAGATAACCACAAGAGATGGTTTGAAAATTAAATATCTAACAGGTTATAGTGGGTAGTCATGTCCCAGATATTTTACCTGACAAAGATCTACTTAGATCTTCTTTACTGAGCCTGTCTGCCTTCCTGCATCTGAAATAACATATCTGTGAGATGTCTGGGTAACTTGTAACTTCCTTTTTACCCTGTACCCCTCAGGGCACAGCAAATGGCCTCCAGACATTCTCTCATTGTTATTGTTATAAAGGTAATTGTCAACTGCTAATTACGTTAGAGTATCCTGTATCCATCTCTGTAAAAGAAGCTCATGTCCATCATTTCACCTTTCACCCTATCCTAGAGGTTTCCCCGCTTCGCTCTGTCCCACCTCCCTAATCTATCACCAATGAATTCCATGTAACTCACCTACATCCCTTTCCTTTGATTGAAATGTATAAATATAGAAAGGTAACCCGCCCTTCTCCAGAGCATTATCTCAATCCGTTGAAGTTCTGCTTCCCGGCATATGTCTACAGTTGGGCTCAAATAAACTCACAAAAATTCTTTACAAGTTTCAATGTTTTTTTTTTTGTTAACACCTTGTACCTGCCAGGGTCACCTCCCAGGGTGGAGCCCTGCTCAGGGCTGCTACCCACGGGCCCCTTTGCCCACAGCTGCTGCTGGTACCCTAGGCTCCAGCTTCCAGCCAGAGCACAGAGGGCCTCCCATTCTCCCCGCCCCACCCAGCTCCATGCCCTCTGCCTGCCCGTCAGGGAGGAGGCGCTGGGTGAGGAGCGTGGGGCTGCCCCTGGGGCTGGGGTGAATGGCTCTCCGAAAGTCAGTGCAGACATTCAGAGCAGCCAGATATTGACTGTAACATGCTAACCCACCCCCACCCCAGAGAGGCACACACACACAGCCAGCTAATGCACACGCATTAAATATTTCTGGGCAAATGTGAAATAGTCTATTCTGACACTGTTGAGAAAAAATACAGCCCAATTTCTGTCCAAACGCACCAAATTTACTGCCCAGGGCCTCATTAACTGTGTCAAGAAGGAAGCAGATAGACAAAATAAATTATGAAAAAATTACTTTTTTAATGTACAAAAAGACTTATTTACAAGTTGAGCATGTCATCTCAATTCATAGCAGGTAGAAAAAGCTAAAAATGTTGTGGAGATATAAACTGGGCGGGTGCCTCGCCTACAGTCTGTTCAGGGTGATGTCTTCTGTACAGACTCCATCCAGGGCGGGGAGCTGGGACAGCCCCTCAGGGAGGGAGTGATCCCCAGAGCCGGGCCCCGGGCCCTCCAGGGCTGGGATTTGGACGTGGCCTTTCCTCGGAGCCAGCAAAGCCCTGGGTGTTTTGGGACCAGAGGGCCAGGTAAGGTGTGGCCCTCTCCTGCCGGAAGCCAGGTCACAGTCAGTCTCAAGCTCCTTGTGCTGCAGTTGGTTTGGGCAAGGATGCCACGAACTCAACACGGGGAAGGTGGGGTGTGCTGGGGAGGGTGCACCACTCATCCCACAGCATGTCAGCATGTCTGCTGACACCAGCTCCTAATCCCACCGAACGGAGACCAGTGATGTCCCTGAGCCCCAGCAGCCAGCTCCTTCCCTCCTGTCCCACCAGACGCCATGCACATCATCGTCCTCCGGAACGGATGAGGACAGAGGAAGGGGGTCCAGAGGTGCCGGGCTGCTGGCGAGTGGGCAGCATGCCGGAGGCTGCCATCAGGGGCTGGCGGAGAGTGAGCGGGCAGTGCCCTGGGGAAACAGGTGGGTAAATGTGTGACTCCTCCTACCCCAGGCGCCCGAGGCTGGGCCCGTGCACGCTCACTCCCTAAAGGTCCATCCACACGTGGGCCCTCGGTCACCCCTGCCCGCAGCAGCTCCAGCGGCCCCAAGTATTTGGAAGTGCTCTTTTCAGGGAGGGCCACGTTTTACATGCGTGAACACTGTGAACACGCCTGGAGGGGCCCGCCGCTTCTGAGCACCCCCGAGCGTCACGGTGTGTTCTTTCCCTTTTCTGGCAACACCCCCGTCCTTTATCCATTCCACACACGTGGCTGTCCGCCAGGCGGCACCTGGCTCTGCCGGGCAGAGGTGCTGGCACTACCACCCTGAACCAGGATGTGCCCCGAGTCGCCTGGTAAACTCCCTTTCCTCCGTGACCAGGGACGTCGGAGGCCTCGTGACCAGCTTGGGGAAGGGCTCCAGGGGCCAGCAACTCCTTCGTGCAGGATCGGAATAGAAGCTCATCTTCCTGGCTCACAACATCCGGTACGGCTTTCCGATTGCAACCCAAACGTGGTGCCTCTGCCTTGTCCTCGTGTACTTGGGAAGCCCGGGCCGGGGACCCCTCTGACAGGGGCGAAGAAGCCGAGCAGAGTGGGCCTCTCCTCGCTAATACCACAGGCGGGAGCCTTCCCACTGAGGATTCCCAGTGTTCCAAAGGAACCCCCGAGAAGACCAGCCAGGATGCACGTGAACTCGCCTTAAAGCGCTGTGGCCTGACCAGCCACTGCCCCCTCCCCGCTGCAGGCCTAGGAATACTCATTCGGGAGAAGACAAAACGGACGACACCCACTCTGGAAACGATGCTCCTCGGCGTCCGCTCCGCACCGGGGCCGGCCTTAGGTCATCATGTTGAGGAACTTGCTTTCCTCGGCCAGGCTGGTGAGCATGGAGCTCATGTCCCCGACGGCCATGTTGCTGATGCCCATGGGGACGGAGGGCAGGGTCAGGGAGCTCCGGGGGGTGGTGAGGCGGGAGGAGCTCTGGGAGAGGCTGTGGAGGAGGCTGGGGCTCAGGGCGCCCGAGAGCAAGCTCGAGTGATCGCCGTCATCCATGATGGCGTCGAAATCGATCTGGGAGGCCTCCAGCAGCTGGGAGTCCACGGTGCTGGACACCTGGTTGACCCCTGGCGAGGACAAGGGCTGGGGCTGGAGACCCTCGGGGCAGGCCTGGGGCTGCGGCAGCTGGGGCCTCATGACCTGGCAGCCTCCGTGGTTCTCCAGGCCTCCGTTCTGTTCATACATGTGGATTTGGCCATAATAGTAGAGCATGTTGTGGTCCTGGGCTCCACCCGTGTCCTGTGGGGGCAGCTGAGGCGGTAAGGATGACATAGTGCCCATCGCTCCCTTGGGCACGGACTCTGCCATCTCCTGGTTGGCTGACACAGCAGCCAGGGCATGGCCGGCGGCCCGGGCGTAGGCCAGCTGCTGCCCTGCACGTACCCCCCGGTGGCGGCCAGCAGGGCCAGGCTCAGGAGGTGGCCGGGGTTGCACTGGGCCGAAGCCGGGCCCAGCCAGCCCCGCTGCAGCCTGCTGCAGCTCCAGGAAGCCAGGCTGGTGGGAAGGCAGAAGGCTGGGGCCCTGGTGGTAGCCCTCCTGGCTCATGGGGGCTGCCAGGTGATGGCTCTGTGGGTAGCTCTGGGCTGCATGAAGTGGTGCCATCCCGGCCAGGGTGGCATTGGGGGCCCCGAGTTCCCTGCGTCTACTACCCATCATGGAGGGGTCAGGAACAACTTCCATCTGCTGGGGGAGCCCCAGGTGACCGGGCTTGGCTACCAGGCTGCTGCAGGATGTGGGGAATGGATTCAGGGCTCCGCCCACGGTGCCGGCGCTCAGCTGGGGGTGGCCTTGGTCGTAGCTGGCATGGGGGCTCGCGGTGGTGGTCATGCTGGCACACTGGCCCCCGGCCCCTGCCTGCCGAAGCCGCTGCATGTGATTTGCCCTGGGCCCGGAGGGGGCTCCGCCGCAGGCCGGAAGGAGTGGCCGTGCGCTGCCCAGACCCCGCGGGCTCGGTGGCAGGCCCTGTGCGCCGTAGCCCGGGTACTGGCCGAAGGCCGGCTTCTGCTGTGCCACCGCCAGGTTGCCCTGCAGAACGGGTGGAGGCTTCCCCGGGCTGCTCAGGGCATCCATGGTGCCAGAGCTCACCTCATTCCACTGCACGGGCATGCTGCTTTTGCTCGGGCCGGAGGGGGCACCATAGCCCTGCTGGCAGCCTCCCAGCCCAGGGGCGGAGGGGCCCATGTTGGAGTCCGCAGCCACCACCCTGCGCTGGCCGTGCAGCCCCGGGCTGGGCAGTTTGGGGTGTTCGGAGAAGCAGGAGCTCTCGGGGGGATATGCCTGCGGGGTGCCGTCACCCAGGGTGCCCGCGTGGGCCTTGATGTACTGCACCACGTCGTCGGGCAGCACCAGGTCATCCTCGGGCAGCAGGAGGGGGTCCTCAGGCCCTGCCCCGTCCGCCCCCACCGCCATGGCCTCCATCACCACGTTCTCGCTGATGCTGGGTGGCCGGGGGGAGTAGGTGCCGTGGGCGAGGCCGCCCTCGGCGCCGGCGGGCGCCTGCGGGTGGCGGCCGCGCCTGTCGGCGGCGCAGGGCGGCAGCGGGCCCGGGTTCACGTCGTGGGCGCTGAGGAAGCGCTGCACCCGGGGCGGAGCGGGGGCGTCGGGCCGCCGCACGGGGTCGCTGGCCCGCCGCGCCCCGCCCCCGCACGCCTCGTGGGGGAAGGCGGGGGCAGGCCCCGCGTGGCCGTAGGCCGGCCCGCCGCTGCCTCGCCGGGGCCCCAGCACGCGCTGCGACGCGTCCAGCAGAGCCAGCCGGGCCCGCAGGCCCCCGCGCTCCAGGCCGGGCAGCGGCGTGGGGGGCGGCCCGCCCGTGGCCGCCGCGTACCGGGCCCGCAGGCTGTACTGCTGCGCGGGCGTCAGGCTGAGCGGCCCCGCGCCCGCCCCGCCCTGGCTGGCCTCGCTGGAGCGCCGGGAGGCGTCCGTGGAGATGGGGTCGTAGGAGTCCGCGGAGCTGGCCTGGGGCGGGCGGCCGGCGCCCAGGCCCGAGGCCTCGCTGGAGCGCCGGCTGGAGAAGTAGGGGGAGATGCCGGAGGAGCGGCGGCTCACGGTGTAGGCCGAGCTGACGGTGCTGGCCGAGCTGTCGCGGCGCTCCTGCAGGTGGCCCAGCACCGTCCCCTCGCCGGCGGACAGCTCCGACAGCCGCGGGTTGGGCAGCAGCCCCAGGGGCCTGCCGCCCCCACCGCAGCCGAAGTTTTCCAGGATGGAGCCTGTGGGGAAGGAGAGAGGTCGGCGCGGGGTCAGCAAGGGGCGGGGAGACCAGGCAGAGGTTGCAGCCCGGAGCCTAGGACAGGCACTAAGCCCGGGATTTCTGATGGAAGCCATAAGGAGCAGTAGGTGGGTGACCGTGGCCTCATTGTGGAGGGTGGCAGCAGAGTCAGGGCTGGATGCCACGTGGCTCTCCCAGTGCCTGGCCGGCCCTGAGCCCCATCAAGCTGGTGCTCTGCATTCCCAGCTGTGGACGGTGACCTCGCGTGGACTGAGCGATGGAGAAGATCCCGGGAGGCCTGGCCATCACCCTTGGGCGGGGGCGGTGGGGGGGCTGCCAGTCAGCTCCTGGGACAGGCTTACTGAGCAGGCTGCCTGGGAGGGCCGAGACCCAGGCCCACGGGAGGAGGAGAGGCAGCGAGGTGGCAGGGAGAAGTGAGCGGTGCCAGGCCCGACGGCTTTGCAGACCTCACGGGGAGCTCCGGGCCTCACACAGCCCTCACACTCTGGCAATGTCAGCCCCTGGGTGGAGGCATCTGGGAAGGGTGACCTTGGTAAGTCAGCTGTCAGTGACCAGGCGATCTCTTAGGAAGCGGAGAGGTGAAGCTGTCTGCTGGCAGTTCCCTCAGCAGCCGAGTCAACAAGCCCCCCTTAGGGAAGAGCTGGTGGTGCATCCTCCCACGTTCACATCCCCAGCCCAGCCCTGGGTCCACTGGCCGTCAGTCCCCGAGGGAGCTGGAGGGTAGGTGCCCGCGCTGGAGCCCTGCCTGGCACAGGGGCAGCGCCCGAGAAGTGCTTGGTGAAACCGCCTTCCTTCTCAAAGCTAGGCCAACACCTTCTGAGGCTGAACACAGGGCTCCTCCTCCAGGAAGTCCTCCCTGCCGGTCCCTGGGACAGGCTCTCTCTCCCCACACAGCTCTGCCTCCGTGCTGCTGGGCCATTCTGCGGGTGACGGTGCACCTCATGGCATGGCCTTCAACTGAGCGCTCCTTCTGACCACAGGGAGGGGACTATCGCTCCCGCCCACGGCCTCTGCCACGGTGCCCACAGCAGAGGCCTGGTAAGTGGCCGAATGAGGAGGATGTGAGCGGGGTGTGTGCCTGTTTTTAGGGGTTGTCGGGTGCAACATGGTGTAGGTGAGAGCCTGGGTGTGGCAGCCACTCAGCCTGGCTGTCTCAGCTCTGCCATTGGTTTAAGTGAGGCCCTTTCATCTCGCTGAGCCTCAGTTTCCTGGTCTGTGCAATGGGCTGGTAAGAGCCATCCTACTGCGGCCAGTGAGAGGGCACATAGCGCTTGATGGGCATGAACCTGGTGGGTGCTACCCCAGGCTCTATCCCCCATTCCCTCCCCCCAAACCCACGCCAGGACCTCCACTCACCGCTTCCCGGGAGGGGAGGCAGCTTGGGGGTCCGGGGGTGTGGAGCTGGCCCGGCCCACGAGCAGGAATCTTTAAGCGACTTGAGCTTCTCCTTCTTGAGCTGCTCTAGCCGGTGCATGGCGGTCATGTGCTGGCGCAGCTGCAGGCCGCCGGCGGACGGGGCGGCCAGGGCCGAGGTGTCGGGCCCCGGGGGCGTGTCATCCAGCGCCGTCAGGTCTCCCAGGCTTCCGGGCCCCGTGCCTGGCATGTCCACGCCGCTGTCGTTGTTGGGGGCACTGCCCAAGGGAGAGGGCTCACTGCTGCAGGATGACTGGGCCCCTGGGCTGGCCTGACACAGCTGCGGAGGACGTGGGCGGTCAGACTCGGAGGTGTGAGGACCGCCTGGCCCCGCGCCCACGGCCGCACCCACAATGCACCCTGCACACCCCAGGGCGGGAAGAAAGCTGCCCTGAGAGGACCGTTCGAATAATCTCTTCTCTCAGTCTTGGCCTCCCCAACCACAGGATGGACCTGAACGGCCTTCAGGACGAGCTGGTGGGTGGAAGGGAGTCATAGGCATGGAGAGGACACCAGTAACTGTCGGCCCCCTGCCCCCTCCCTGTGCTCGGCCCACCCCCTCTCGGAGCTGGTAGTTGGCAACAGGTAGCTGTGGCCACAGAAGCTGCCGCAGCTGCATGAGGTGGACATGAACGGTTCTGAGCATTCACAACCGTGATGTACACCATGAGGCAGGGGACAAGGAAAGCTGCTGACGCCCTCTCAGCAGCCCCGGGTGCGTGGTAGGCAGGGAAAGGGCAGGCGGGAGGGGAACTGTCAAAGTGCCATCACACCAGCCCTGGCTCTGGGTCGGGGCAGAGGGGCTGGGAGCTCGTGCCCATGACAATGCAGAACCCGCGGAACCCGGACCCCGGCCCCAGGGAGGCTGCGCTGGAGGAGCTCCTCTGGGCTCACTGCCAGGCTGACTGCTCCCAAATGCCAGACTCTTCTTTGGGAAGCTGCAAAGCTCCATCCTGTCCAGGCACCATGTTCCTCACCTCACTCAGCACCTTCTGAGGTCAGTCCTGTCCGCTGCAGCCCTAACCCACACCTCTGCTCTGCCCGTCCCTCCTGCGGGAGAGGTCTGCACTGCTTGCTCCTGGGCCTGGCAGCTTGACTCCTGCTGCCAGCCTTGCCTGTCCCAATGGTCCTACCTGCCGCCAACCTATCCGAACCCACCTTCCCCTGGACGGGACCCCAGCCACCCTCACTCATGCCAGCCCGCCCACCCCTCCCCTTCTCGCTCACCTCAGTAACGTCTATCCTTGGGGGAGGTACAGTCGGGGGAAAGAGGTGGAGACAAAGAACAGGTAGTTAGAACAAAAGGAGCGGAGGCCAGAGGGGTGAGGATGCAGACAGGACAGAGGGCAGGAGCCCGAGGCGGCTCTGGTGCTGGTGAGAAGGCAGACCCGGGGCCACACCGCCCCTGCAGACTGGCCACGTGGGGCAGGCGTTCCTGTTGCCCACAGCCTGCCAGTACCACGGGACCTGCCACAGAGCTCCTGTGAGGCCCACGGTGGTGAAGGGAGGACAGTGGAGCAGGAGAGAGGAGGCACAACGTGGGGTGCTCAGAGAGGGGGCCTGGGAGGGCCCACAGCTGCAGGGGCCTTGGACCCCGGGCGGTGCTCTGGATGGGCCTGGCCTGCGGGGCGGGGCTCCTGGGGGACGGGGCCTCCACTGCCCCGCTCTGCTTACCCCGGAGCTCTCGGTCTTGATGGCCCTGATGTGCAGGCAGTCCTCCGCGGACTGGCCGGCGCTGCTGGCCTCGGCGCTCTCCTCCGCGCGCCGGCCGCCAGGCTCGGGGCCGGCCTCGGGGTCCCCGTTCTCCTTGAGCAGCAGGGCGCGGAGGTGCACGTCGTTGCGCTGCTTCTTGGTGACGTGGGCGTCGGGGCCGTGCACGGTTTTCACGTGCTTCCGCAGAGAGCTGGGGTCCGTGTAGCGCTTGGTGCAGCCCGGGATCTTGCAGATGTAGGGTTTCTGGGAGAGAAGCGGGCGGCGTGACGGACGGGCACTCGGAAGGGGCCCTCCCCTCTGGAAGCCATGCCACCTCCTTCGGCAGGGACTGGCTGCCACCCCGGGAGGCGTGCCACCTGTGAGCAGCCAGGCCACTGGGATGGGAGGGCCTGCCCTGCCCCTGTGCGCACCGTTTCCAGCAGGTGAGCCTGTGGCCCAGGGAGCCCGCCGCCAGCTGGGGGCAGAGATCAGAGGCTGGAGGGAGGGGACAGGGCCTCGTGACCATTGCACCGCCCCGGCCAGGGCTTGGGGGCTTCTGACATCAGCAGGGAGGGTGACCCTTTCCTGTGCCTGTGAGGCAGCACCAGACCCAGGCTCTCTGAGGGAGTCGGCTCAGAGCCAGAGGAGCTGGCCCAGGAATGGGATGAAAACCTAGGGTTTCTTTCTTTTTTTTTTTTTTTAAATATATTTTATTGATTTTTCAGAGAGGAAGAGAGAGGGATAGAGAGTTAGAAACATCGGTGAGAGAGAATCATTGATTAGCTGCCTCTTTTTTAAAAAAAATATATTTTATTGATTTTACACAGAGAGGAATTGAGAGGGACAGAGAGTTAGAAACATCGATGAGAGAGAATCATCGATCAGCTGCCTCTTGCACACCCCCTACTGGGGATGTGCCCGCAACCAAGGTACATGCCCTTGACTGGAATCAAACCCAGGACCTTTCAGTCCACAGGCCGACGCTCTATCCACTGAGCCAAACCGGTCCCGGCAAAACCTAGGGTTTCTGAACCTCAGTTCTGTGCTCATATATATGCATGCTCTACACCCACATACATACATGCACATTTATATGCGCACACACATGTCTACATGCAGGCACACAGTCAGTGCATGGACACACATATTCATGCATGAGTACACATGCTTACAAACACATCTACATGCACATCTACATATAAAGCATACCCACATGTGTACATGCTTACAAATTCACAACAGCCGCATGTAATGCATACACATGTACAACCACACCTAATACATACCAATATTCACACACACATATACACAGGCACACAGTCACACACAGGCACACACCTCTCTTCCAGGCCAGCTCATCTGTAGAGACTGAGGGGTTCAGATACTCCTGGGAAGACTTCTAACTTCTTACAAGCATTGGAGCAAGTCCCTTTGGGTTCAAAATGTACAATATCTAAGCCCTAGCTGGTTTGGCTCAGTGGATAGAGCGTTGGCCAGTAGACTGAAGAGTCCCAAATTCAATTCCCGGTCAGGGCACATGCTCGGGTTGTGGGCTCCACCCCCAGTAGGGGTTGTGCAAGAAGCAACCAATCAATAATTCTCTGTTTCTATCTCTTTCCCTCTCCCTTCCTCTCTAAAGTCAATAAAAGTATATATTTCTAAAATGTATCTAAGCCTTTAGAAATGTTCTTTCCGGAGTCTCCCTGACTGACAGCACTGACCGGCCGGGCAGGGCCTGGGAGGTAGGCAGAGCGGACCCCATGGGCCCCCGCCACTTTCCTCCCCGGCTCTCAGCCCCGCCAGGGAGAGGCCAAGGCTGCCCTGTGCCCCTCACAGGCCCAGCGGGACTGGCAGCTCAGGCGGGTAGACCTGTCCTCACCAGCTGCGCGGCCCTGTGTGCTGAGCTGACAGGTCAGTGGGGAGAGGGCCCTGACGTGTGCCTGTGGGGCCTGGGGGCGGGCGTACCTCATTGGAGTGGGTGCGGTTCTGGTGCTTGGCGCGGTCCGAGGCGTTGGAGAAGGCCTTGTTGCAGCCCTCGTGCTCGCACACGTACGGCTTCTCCCCGGTGTGGGAGCGCAGGTGCGTCTTCAGGTTCTCCAGGCGCGAGTAGGCCTTGGAGCAGCCCTCGAACTGGGAAGAGGCGGGTTGGTCAGCGAGGACGCCCTGGACCCAGCGCGGGGCCTTGGGCCAGACACGCCCCTGCCCAGCCCTGTCTGCTCCGCCCGCAGCGCCGCCAGGAGCTGAACTTAGCAGCATCACTTCCCTTCCTGATTAGAACATGGACACCTGGCATTTCTGGAAAACTTAATCGGAACTGAAACGTACAGAGGGATGACAGCCGCTGCCCGCCAGGGACCACCCGCTAACCCCCCAACGCCTCATTCTGCTGGTGATGTAGTTCATCTCCATACATTCTTTTTAAAACCAAAATTGGGAATGTAGCATTATTTAGTTATGTTTTCTGCTTGTTAAAATCAACAGCACATTGTGAGCCCATCAGTAAAAACTCTTCCAAATGTTATTTTTAACTGTTTCCCAATGCCCTCCCTGATTGGAACGGTTCTGGGCATCAAATGTGCTGAGAATAAAATGCAGAGTCCTCGTGGCCTCGCCCTCGCTCTGGCCACCACGATCTCCTCAGGTCCTTGAGCCACGAGCTTCTTCTGGGCTGGGCCCTGGCACACCCTCTCCCTGGACAGGCTCACTGCCTCTCAGTCTAGTAGGTCCTCCCCTCCAAGAGCACATCTCTGATATTCTTCATCGTGATCACGGCCCTCCCCCTCTAAGCTCCTGGACACAATTTAACATGATCCCAATCGCCCTGTGACCGGCCTTTCCACTAGGGTACAAGCTCCACGGGGGCAGTTTCCTTTCAGGTCCTGTTCGTTTCTGTGTCCCTAGTACATAGTACAAGGCGAAAGGAACACCTTCGGGATGGAAGGAAGGAAGGAAGGAAGGAAGGAAGGAAGGAAGGAAGGAAGGAAGGAAGGAGGGAAGGAGGGAGGGAACGAGGCGGTAGGGAGGGTGGGGGACCAGGAGTGTATACTTAGGATCCTGCAGCTGCATCCAATGCACCTGTGAAAACTGACCTCAGAATGACAGGGAAACCGGCAGGCACTGTCTCATTCCCCACACCCCCCAACCTGCCTCCTAAACCCCTTTATCTCTGGCTGTCTGAGCACACGTGGGCCCAAAGGCCTTTGATCTGTTTCCGCCACTCGTGGCTCGTGTCGGACGACTATGGCTGAGAAAATAACTTCCCACAAAGGACCCAGAAGAGCCAAGACAGCCTTACAAAGGGAGGGCTCATGTGGAGGATTGACACTTCCAATTTCAAAACTTGCTGTAAAACTACGAGGATCCGACTGAGTGGTACTGGCCTAGGACTCAGAGGTCAATGGAGTGGAAGTGCGAGTTCAGACATGGGCTCCCACGTGCAGGGCCATCTGATTGTCAGCAAGGGGGAAGGCCGGCTGAGGAGGAAGAGCAGCCTCTTCAGCAAATGGGTTTGGGACAACTGCAGAGGGAATGGCGTTGGACTGTCCCCTCACACTACAAAAGGGGACTCAAAATGGAAGAGCTGCTCTATAAAACCTTACACAGGCTGGGGCAGAGGAGGTCATTGAAACTGAAAGCTTTGTGCTTTAAAGGAAACTATCAAGAAAATGAAAAAAACCCACAGGATGGGAGAAAATATTTGCTAACCAGTAAGGTCTAGGAGAACTACTTCAATCCAGCAATAAAAAGACAAATAATTTACAAGTGGGCAAAATATTTGAGTAGACATTTCTTCAAAAAAATATATATATTAAGAGGCCAGTAAGCACACAAGCAGACAATCAATTTCATCAGTCATTAGGGAAACACGAATCTAAACCACAATGGCATGCTACTGCAGTGCACTGTGATGGCGGGATCGGCAGACGGGTAACGCACGCTGGCAAGGACGCTGCCGGTGGGAAGGTAAGTAGTGCAGCCGCCTCTTGGAAACCAGACTGGCTGGTCGGAAAAAAGTGAGACGTAAGAGCTTCCATCTGACCCAGCAATTCAGCTCTAGCAGGTACACCAGAGAACCGAAAACAGGCCCACAGAAACCTGTACAGATTAGCTCACTGCAGCATGTTCATAATAGCCACAGAGTGAAAACATCCATCAACTGAGGAGTGGACTAGAAAACTAGGACCTGTCCGTACAATGAAATGCCGTTTAGCTCCGATGTGAAGAAATGATGTGTGGATACGCGCTGCACCACGGAGGAGCCTTAAGAACAGGCGAAGTCAGTAGTCGGCAAACTCATTAGTCAACAGAACCAAATATCGACAGTACAACGACTGAAATTTCTTTTGAGAGCCAAATTTTTTAAACTTAAACTTCCTCTAACACCACTTTTTCAAAACAGACTTGCCCCGGCCATGGTATTTTGTGGAAGAGCCACACTCAAGGGGCCAAAGAGCTGCATGTGGCTTGCGAGCCGCAGCTTGCCGACCACGGGACTAAGTGAACAGGCCGGGCACAGGGGCTCACATTGTGCGATTTCATTCCTATTGACCGGAACAGGCACGCTCAGGGGTCGAAGCAGATCAGTGGCTCTCAGGGAATGTGGGGTGGGGGCGGGGGAGAGCAGGAAGTGACTGCTAACAGGTCTGTGGCTCTGACGGGTAATGAGAATGTTCTGGAATTGGCTAGTAACTCACAACTTGTGAATATTCTAAAAAAAAAAAAAATCACTGAAATTGTACCTTGTTAAACAATGATAGACTTCATAGTATGTGAATCTTATTTCCATGAAAAACTTGCGAACAAAGGTAACGTATTTCACTGAGTCCTGGACAGCACCGATTTTAAGACCGCGTGGGTTCAGAGGCAGGAACGTGGGAATAGGTGTGCATCCTGGACTCCGTGGAACAGGGCAGTTCACGAAGGGGCACTGCCACAGGGCTCAGTGCCGCCATCAGCGCCACCTCCCCTTCAAGAGGGACTGGTCTCTGAGTGTGGAAAAGGCCTTCCCGGTGACCATCCCGGACCCTTCCCTCCCCAAGGGGGCTATCTGAAAGGTCTGCTCTCTGTGCTCACTTAACACCCAGAGACTTTACCCCCTCACGGCTCAAGCTGACCCCGCTGAAGCTTCTCTCTGCAGGGCACCCTGCAGGTGCTCCCGGCCAGCGCCTGTGTGGGTCCCGCAGACACGAGAAGTGGGGTACAGCTGTGCTGGGAGGTCTGAGGTGACACGGACATAGCCACAGAGACGCTGGCACGCTGCTGCCTACTGCAGCTCACGCCTGAGCGAGCGCCAGAGTTCTGGACGACGGGAGGCGGAGCCTGAGGACTCAGCGGGCAGAGGACTCAGGGCCGGAGCAGACTGCACACCGCAGGGGCTCAGCCTGGCCTGGGGCGCGGGGCCGCCTGGGCGGCGGCGGCCGGCCGGAGGGCACTCACCGTGCACTTGTGCGGCTTCTCGCCCGTGTGCCGGCGCATGTGCACCACCAGCATGTACTGCGCCTTGAAGGGCTTCTGCTCCCGCGTGCAGGCCTGCCAGCGGCACACGAACTCCTTCTTCTCCCCGTGGATGTGCTCGTTGTTGATGTGCTGCCGGAACAAGCCCTCAGGGTGAGCCCGGCCAGCGCCTCAGGCCCCTCGTGAGCGCGGGCCACCCCACAGACCCCCCTCATTCTGTTGGGTCACCCTCCGGCCGCGCCATTAAGTGAAGACATACTGTGTGCTAATGTCTCGGCTGCATTTCCCAATTAGTCATCAAAGCAACCATCCTAGATCACATGTGTCAAACACAAGGCCCGCGGGCCAAATCCGTCCCACCAGGCCTTGCAATGTGGCCCGCACCGCGCTGTCATCACTGCACTCCGCTGCGTTTCCATCACAATGACAGTTTATGACTGTTCAGTAAACCATTCGGCCCGCGATTTAGGCTGGATTTTAGAATTTGGCCCCTTCTCTGATTGAGTTCGACACCCCTATCCTAGATGGTCAAAGGTGTCCCGCTCACCCCAGACAGGGCTCCGGACTCCAGTCCGTGAGGACGGGGCCATGACGATGCTCCCGGCTGTGCTGCACACAGTAGGCACTAACTGAGTGCAGCGAGGCAGACAGGGTGCCTGAGAAGCCTCTCCCGCGCTTGCCCTCTGTCCCAGGTTTTCATGTGAAGTTTTAGTTATAGTGGAAACACCAATGGGTCCTGGTCTCCACATGTGATAGCCCGTCAGATGGCGGCTCTGGCCCTTTGCACCAAGGCCCAGCTCATTGGTGGCTGCAGGGACTGACCCCCTGGGAGGACCCTGGGACCGTGTGACACTGCCCCTGGCACAGCACAGCCCGGGAGGGAGCAGAGCCGCCAGCGACCCGGCGACTGGTGGGCAGCACGGCACTGGGACCCTACTGTCAGCTCGAGGCCCACTGGGCGATGGGGCAGAGCGAGGCAAGCAGCTGCCCAGGCGGTGCTCCTCAGACGGTCCTGGCCAGCACTGGCCTGGCAGGAACAGGAATATTTCTGCCCCTGGCCCTGCGCCCACACCGGTCCTTGGCCCTGGCCTCCCCATCTGTGTGGCCCCCAGAATGGTTTCTCCTGTACGAGAATCACAGGCCCGGAGGCTTTCTGTTTCAGCAACAGCACGTGGGCCTGGGCAGACCCTGGGGTGTTGGTCACTTGCTTTGATTTTTAGCCGTGGGCTGCCATCCGCCTGAGGCAGGCGCATCACCCACTGCCGGGCCTCTGCCAGGCCCAGACGCCGCCCTCCTTCCTCTGGTCCAATCTGATCTGCCCCATAACTCAGCTCCCAGGTCCCTTCTTCGTCCCGGACTTCTGACTCAGAGTAAAGACGGACCCTGCCTCACAGGTTCTCCACCAGCTGCAGTGACAGTCTGCTAGGAAACTGGCCTCCTGGGTGAGAAAGCGGGAAGAAAATCCCAGCACATGAGAACCTACAGCTCCCCCGGGTGCGAGCCGCGTGAGCACGGGTGCATGTGCGTGTGCAGCCCCCACTGTGCGTGTGCAGCCAGCACGGGTGCATGTGCGTGTGCAGCCCTCACTGTGCGTGTGCAGCCAGCACCGGTGCATGTGCGTGTGCAGCCCTCACTGCCGCGCTGTTTAGTGTGGGGCTCGTCTTTACAGACGCCCGTCCACAGGGAGGTGTGCTGGGACCGGTGTGGGGCTGTTCTTGAAGTTACGTTCTCTTCTGGACAGAGAGGAGAGGCCTCAGACTGGCATGAGGACCGGGAGCCGGAGGCAGAGGGGCCACCAGGCGTGGCTGCGCTCTCTGCTATGATATGTGGTGACACTGGGCTCCTATTCAGTCTCCACACCCTGTGGAGTGGGATTCACCCCCACACAGGAGGAACCCTGCAGCTTACGGAGGCCGGGTCGCCTGTTCTCACCTGCTTAGACTCCCTGGCTGTGGTCTGAAGCCTGTGCCTCCACGCTGAGCCCCACGCCCGCCCCTCCCACGGCACACACTGCTTGCGGCCACCACAGCAGGGGCCGCTGTGGAAAAGTTTGGGTGGGGACCGAGGCGAGGACCCATCCTGTCGATGCACCCGCTGCCGGGTCTCCTGGGGCTCCTGACCGGCCAGGACCAGGCACGGGCACGCCGGGAACAGCCACCGGCACCGGTGCGGCCGCTGTGCACCGCCTCCTCCTCCTCAGGAGAAACTTCCTTCGGTTCAGGCCAGGTTTGCTTACTCTGGGCAGGATGTGGTTCAGCTACCCTATTTCCCGCTGTGCACTGGCTGCTAGGAACCTCAGGGAGAGGGTTGACGTGTGAACTACAGCGCGGAGGACTTGGCTTTGCACACTAACTGGACTCCTGACTTCCTTGTATTGCTCATTTCCCCTTAGCTGTCCCCTGGCGTGTTTTTCTTCTAACCTCTTGTACTGCATACGTATCTGTAAGCCCCTTTCGGGCCCAGGGCCCGGGTGAATAACCACGCTGCCCACTCGCAGGGGACACGCACCCCTGGGAGCCTCCTCCAGCCCCTTCTCTGTCCGGGGCCCGGGAGGCTGCAGGCTCCCGGGCCTGCCCCTGCCCTGTGGGGCGGCTATGGGGCCGGGAGGCTTACATGCACCAGCTGCTCCTGCGTGTCGTACTCCTTGGTGCAGTCCTCCCAGTGGCAGTTGGTCTCGTAGATGACCACCTCCGCCTCCTGCTTGCAGTCGTCTCTGTCCAGGTCTTCCTTGAGGTCGGCCAGCTGCTCCTGGAGGAGCAGAGCACACCGCTGAGCCACGTCCGGCACCCCGCCCGCCCCGAGGCTGCCGTGAGCTCTGCACAGTGTGCCAAGGCCCCGGGCTGTGCAGGTACACACACAGGCACGCACATCCATCGGCTTCCCCAGCCCTCCTCAGCTGGCCCCTGCCACCCCTCTCCCATCACACAGCTGTCCTGGATCTCCGCCCCCCCCCCCCCCCAGCCCCCCGAAGCTAACTTGTCATCACTAAGGCGTCTCGCTGACATGGCGGGAGAGCAGCAGCGAGCAGGTGGTGGCTTTGCTGTTTGGCGTGGTTTCCCCTGCGAGGACCCACAGGCTGTGGGGTGGGGCATTTTAGTCCAAGAGTTTGTCCTCCATGGAGGCAAGAGAACCCCAACAGGCACTTGGCCTGGCCCTCCAGACCTCTCACTTTTGTACTGTCCTCTCCTCCCAGGCACTCAGCACAACTGGATTCGCACCCAGGACAGCGCAGCTGGGTGAACATGCTCAGCACGCCCCCCCCCCCCCCGGCCCCCTGGGGGGCAGCAGGCTCCGTGGACAGCCTGCCGTGGGGCTTTCCTCCTGCCTGCAGCCAGAGAGGGGGCTGGGAAGGCTCCTCCCCTCCCGGACACACACACACACACACACACACACACACACACACACGGCGAGTGTGGAGCCCCGGGCTTGGCCTCCAGCCCCCCAGCACAGAGCCCACACGTGCCCATTTCAAGGCGGCAAAGGAAAGGCCCCGAGACAGACTCCGCCCAGTCACAGGTGCTTAAGTTCAATGAGGACACATTTTACTCCAAAACCAGCAACAGACTGAGTGTAAATCAGTGGCACCGCCTCAGCTAATGCGACACACTGGCCGGGCAGCCTCCCAGCAGGCCCGGGACAGGCTGGGCAGGAGCAGGAGCCGGTGGAGGAAGGCACCAGGGCCCCCGGCCGGAGGAGGCCCCACGAGGACATAAGGGCTTCCCTGCTCCACTGACCGCCGATGCCCCACTGGCCCCCAGGCAGGCTCGAGCAACGCCAGGCAACAGCCGACGGGAGGATGACCTGCCTCCATGCAGACTACCTGCCACTGGCACAGGTGGCCTGTCGTTCCCAGCAGCCTCTGGGGCAGACAGTTATAGCTCAGGCTGAGGGGGGCCCTCTCCAGTCAGAGCCCCCTCAGACACTCAGCCTCACTCCTCAGGCGGCTCTGTGGCTGGGGTGACACCAGCACCACGGCCCCTGCGGCAGGGTCCCGCCCTCCTGTGGAGCTGGAGGGCTCCTGCAGGAGGGGCCTCGGGTTTGTGAACGCACGCGCTCAGTGCAGCTGTGAACGGGAAGCGAGGCGCAGTGCAGGAAGTCCCCGGCGGCTCCGGGTCACGTCACAGAGGCCCAGACCGCCCTGCCCGACTCCTTAGGAGGGGCCGCGGGGCCTCCTGTGCCCGCTCTGCCCTCTGCTGATTCAAACAGGAGGCTGCCGGCGGACAGGTGTGTGGGGACGGGGTCGGCGGGACGGCGTGCCCCGGGCCCCAGGGCGCGCTGGGCTCCTTCCTCGCCCCCACGTCTGAGGCAGGCAGGGCGGGGGGCTGGGCTGTGTTTGTGCCCGGGGAGAGCATGCCCACCCACCTTGCAGGAGCCCGGTCACGGAATCAGACAGAGTGACACGGTGACAACCCCTCATGATGGATGGCTCTCTCTCTCCTGACACAAACGAGGAGCCCAGCTTGTGGGCCCGGGGCGGGCAGGGGTGGGGGTGGCTCCCTGTGCTCAGTGTGGCCTCCACCCGTCCTCGCCACTCCCGCTGCTGCTCTCCCAGGACACACGCCACCCTCACCCGTTCCCGCCACCGAGGAGGGCCCCCTGGAAGCCACACATCACACCAAGAGGCGCTGGCGTCAGCGAGGGGAGAGGAATTTGTCACCGGCCCCTCTGCCTGCCTGACAATAACAGAACCCAATATTTCATAAAAATTAAGTGCCCAGAGCATGGCCGAGGCGGCAGCCTGAAGAAGGATGGTGTGATAGGGGCAGGGGGACAGGGACAGGGGGCCTGAGCATTGCCGGTGTCAGAGCCGTGACAGGGCGGTAACGGATGGAGGCTGGCCACCGTGAGAGACAGCGGGAGGCTCCTCTGTGCGGCGAGCACTCACCGAGCCCTTCCCCCGCAGCCTCTGCTGCCAGAGCGGGCCGGCTGGCCGTCCTCTCGGATGCTGACTAGGAGGCAGGGTCTCAGCCCGCACAGGGCCACCCGGCTGTGGGTCGCTCGGTCCCTCACCTTCCCGTTCCTTCCCCTCACCACACACTCAAGCCCTCAAATGTGCATGGAGTGCTTGGTGACTGAGACCAATCACTGTGCGCCAGGCCAGTGTACACCCCGATGGCCTGGAACCAACCAGACCTTCCCTGAGAGGGCCGCCTCCCCACAGCTCCCGGGCAGTGCAGGAGCAGCAGAGTGGCCCGAGGCTAGACTGGGCATCTGGCAGCTGCAGCCTAGTCTGCAGGAGGGCCAGGAATGGCTGAAGAGCCAGCGAAGGGGCAGGGCTCCAGGGAGAGGGAGCCGCTGGGCAGGAGCCTGAGCCATCAGGGGACGTGAGCACCTCGGCTTGTGCTGCATGAGGGTGAGGGGTGTGGTGGGAGGGGAGACCGTCTGCTGCAGCCCCAGATCATTCATTCACTCATTCTGAGGTCCTCCCCTGCAGCCCCAGATCATTCATTCACTCATTCTGAGGTCAAGTTGGAGAAAGGAAGGTAGAGAGAAAAAGAGAGAGAAACACTGGTTGTCTCCGTACTGGTCCCAACCAGGGATTGAACCTGAAACCCAGGTATGTGCCCTGACGGGGAATCGAATCGGCAACCTTTTGGTGCATGCGATGATGCTCCACCAACCGAGCCACTCCCGCCGGGTAATTCAGCGTGTGTCTGAGGAGCATGTAAGGTGCAGGGTGCTGGGGACACCGCTCTGGTCCTCCCCGAGCTCAGGAACGCCCACCCAGCCCCCCCTGGCTCAGTCACTAGTTCATGCAGGCAGCCACCTGCTCATCCTTCACCAGCAGGGGCTCAGTCCCCAGGCTGCTGGCCCCGCGGACCGGGCCTGGCCCAGCTGGAGGCGTGAGGGTGGCGGGCAGGTTACCTGCGTCAGGGTCACCGGGGAGGCTGGCCCCAGGCCCTCAGCTTCCGTCTTGACCTTGCTGCGCTTATGAATGATGATGGGGTTGACGGTGCTGCTCACAGCCGACTCGCTGGTCTGCTTGCTCTGAGGAGGTGCAGGGGAGAGCCTGTCACTGAAGGCAGTGGGACACCCACACCTCTGGACCCTCTCCACACAGCCTATATGGGCCAACCCTTGTGTTTGGAGTGGGAGAAACTGAGTCCTTCCAGCTTATTCCCCAGCAAGAAGCATAGCTAGGAGAGAGCCCAGACGGCCGGCCAGAAGCTGGGATGTAACAGAGGCCTCTCTCAGGAAGGGGGCTCGGAGGACTGGGTGAAAAGCAGAAACTCCTGGGGATGTACTGTACAGCATAGGGAATACAGCCAGTAACGTTGTAATAACTCTGTATGGTGCCAGGTGGGTGCTGGAAATATCGGGGAACGCTGTATAAAGTATACTAGAGGCTCAGTGCACTAATGTGTGCACGGGTGGGGTCCCTCGGCCTGGTGGGCAATCGGGCTGATGGGGGCCATCTTGCGCAGTAGCTATTGGGGCAGCCAGCCACAGGGAGGGATGGGGGAGGTTGGCATGTTACAGGTGGTTGGCTGTGGGAGCTCACTGACTGCCAGGAGGCAGTTCCTGCATTGAGCATCTGCCCCCTGGTGGTCAGTACACATCATAGTGACCAGTTGACCGGTAGTTTGGTCATTTGGTCCTTAGGCTTTGATATGTATAGATGATTACCTAACCGCTATGCTGTACACCTGAAATTAATACAAAATAACACTGAATGTAAACTGTAATTAAAAGTTTTTAAAAGATGGTCTCTGATACATCCATGCTCTACAACTAAACTGCACGATATTAATTATTATTCACTAATCCATTTCATATTCTGGGTGGGGAGCACCTACATGTGCCGACTGTGATTTCTAGGTTCCTCCATCTACTCACCTGTTTACTGCACAGGCGACATCAGACCTGAGGCTGGGGCTGCCCACAGGAGTGGGAGCGGTGTCAGGACCCGCCAGGCCTCCCACCCAGCCTCATCCAGCCAAGGCCTTTCAATCACGTGGCCTCTTCACAGAAGGCACCCCTAGCCAGACCTGCACCCTGAGTCCTCCCGCACGTGGTCAGGGTGAGGTGGGGACCACCAGCCCTCGTGGAGTCAGAGCACCGTGGGCCCGCCCCGCACCCCGCACCCCGCGCCCCGCGCCCGCCTACCTGGCTGGCGTTGCTCAGACAGTTGCTGCTGCTGCTGAGCTGAGTGGGTGTGGTGGTGATGGCGGTGAGGGCCATGGGCTGCTGGGCCAGGAAGGTGGGGGAGGGCTGGAGCAGGGGTGGCGTGTGTCCGAAGGCCGAGCCCAGGCCCCTCTGCTGGCTCAGGATCTGCTGGTAGGCCACGGGGTTGATGGGGTGGGGGAAGGTGAAGGCTGGGCTGCAGAGAAGAGCAGACAAGGCGGTGAGAGAAGGAGAGGGAGGGGGGACCAGGGCTCTGCGAGGCCGACACTTCCCGGGCAGAGAAGGGCTGGATGGGCACGTGCTAACCTCGCCATCGCCACGGCTCTGCTCACTTAAGAACCGGCAGTGGCTCTCCATGGCGGTCATCACAGGCCTCGCCTGTCACGCCTAGCCTCCAGACCCTGCCCGGTGCAGCCTTCACCCTGGCAGGCTGGCCCCAGACTCCGTCCCAGCCCACCCTGGCGTGCAAAGCGCCCCCCCTGCTCCCTACGAGCCCCACTGGGCCTCCGAAGCCCGTTCGAATGCCCTCCGGGCACATCCCCCTCTCCTTCCCCTCCCACTGCACTCGGGTCTGCACTGCCAGCGCACCAGCCTTTCCAGAAGAGCTCACTGAAGGAAGATGGCCGAGGCTGAGCGTGAAGGACGCTGTGGCTCCCCCACCTTCCGACGGAGGGCGGGGATCGGCGGCCGTGTCCTGAGACTCTGCGGACAGCTATGTGAGGGCCTCCTGGAAGCGGAGCCCGGGCCCGTCGCCCTCAGGTGACTGCAGCCTCGGCTGGCAGCTTCCGGGACCGGCTAAGCCCGCCTCACACCCTGACTCAGAGGCGGTAATCCTGCTGTTTTAAACCGCCACATGCAGAAGTCCTTTACTATGCAGTGAAAGGTGACGGACACGTCCGTTACCACTTCCATTTCTGGGTCCATGGCCGAGCTCTCCCGGCGTTCCTAATATCTCGGCCTCTCTCGAGATGCTCAAGGGAAGCCCGCGGTGTCAGCCCAGTGGGCGGCTCTGAGGCCTCAAATGGGCTGGGCTAGTGGTGTGGACGAGGTTGGGGTGTGGCCACCTGGGAGCCTGCTGCCAGCCAGAGACTCGCATGGCCCAGGTCAGTGTCCCTCGCCCTTCTGTGCCTCCAAGCGGGTCAGGGACCTGGCTGCTCCACGCACTCCCTTCCGTACTAGGAAAGCCACCTTTGACTTGAGGACCGAATCTTTCGTGACAGGCCCCCCAGAAGTTGTGTTTGGGGCTTGAAGTCCTGTCTTTCTTCTCAGGTGACAGCGCTGTCCCTCCCCACTTGGTCCCCAGTCCGGCTCCCTACTCCCAGCCTCTGCTGGCAGGCGGGGCTCACCTGAGGGTGCCCGCTGACAGGTGCCCGTAGGAGCCGCTGGCGGCCGAGCTGCTGCGGGAGTTGTTGATGTAGGCCACCAGCGAGTTGGGGGAGGTGCGGATCATCCGCTGCAGGTCCAGGCTGGCGTCCGACAGCGGGGAGATGGACAGCGCCCGCTTGCGGCTCAGGCGGGGCGTCACCCGTGGGCTGGAGAAACGCGACACTGTGGGACAGCCAACCAGGCACATCAGCAACGCGGGCCGGGGGGTGAGGGGGCAGGTGGACTGCAGGTGAAGGACGGCTCTGCCGTTCTCGTTGTGGCCTCTTGGCCAGGGCTGTGGCCATTTTCAGCCTCAGTCGGCCCGTCTATAACGTGGACTGATCCACACGTGGTGTGGTGAGGACTTAAGCAGCACAGGTTAGAGGCTTGCATGAATCCGAGCGCCCTTCCTGTTCAGGATGCAGGGGCCAGCTGGACCCACCAGTGCCTGACGCAGGACAGCAAACGCACAGGGACGTGAGCCACCCGTGAGGCCAGCACCAAATGGTTGCCAGTTCGATTCTCAGTCAGGGCACATTACTGGGTTGCAGGTTCAATCCCCAGTTGGGGCATGTATGGAAGGCAACATATGGATGCTTCTCTTTCGCATCCATGTTTCTCTCTCTTAGCATGTCCTCTGGTGAGGTTTAAAAAACAAAACAAAACAGGGCCTGGTCAGTGCCTAGAAGCCCCTCTGTCTGTCCAGACCTGCCCCAAACTAGCCTGACCTCCAAAGGGCAGCTTAGTCTTCCTGTTTCTGAGTATTTGCCTATTAATGTAAATGAAGTTATAAATACTATTAGATCCAGCTCTTTCACCCAGCATCAGTTTGTGAGATTGCTCTGCACTGCACTATATGGCAATCACTGGCTTTTTCATTGTAGAAAGCTCCATTGGGGGACTCTGTGGCCAGGGTAGCCTGGTATGTCCTGAGGGAGAGGTCCTATGTGGTCTGAGCAGGCACCACTAACACAGGATGGGGGGGCCAGGCCAGGCCGTGGGGAGCACCGCATGGGGGTGGTGGTCAGGCTGTGTTCCCTGCAGCATGTGTTCACAGCATGAAAGCTCCCTGGCCAGGCCCCAGGGAGCACAGCACGGGGGCGGGGACAGGTTCAGGCCGTGGGGAGCACAGCACAGAGGGGCTAGGCAGGGAGCACAGCACAGAGGGGCCAGGCCAGGCCGTGGGGAGCACCGCATGGGGGTGGTGGTCAGGCTGTGTTCCCTGCGGCCTGGCACAGCATGAAAGCTCCCTGGCCAGGCCCCAGGGAGCACAGCACGGGAGCTGGGGACAGGTTCAGGCCGTGGGGAGCACAGCACAGAGGGGCTAGGCCAGGCTGTGGGGAGCACAGCACAGAGGGGCTGGGCCAGGCTGTGGGGAGCACAGAGAGTGTTCAAGTATCCACTGGGTTGCTTACAGGCCACCCCTCCAACCCGGGGCCACTGACGGGAGGACGGGTGGGCAGGGGCCAGCAGGGCACAGGGAGAGGCCGTCCCGCTCAGGTATCCAATCAGGGCACAGGGAGAGGCCGTCCCGCACAGGTATCCAATCAGGGCACAGGGAGAGGCCGTCCCGCACAGGTATCCAATCAGGGCACAGGGAGAGGCCGTCCCGCACAGGTATCCAATCAGGGCACAGGGAGAGGCCGTCCCGCACAGGTATCCAATCAGGGCACAGGGAGAGGCCATCCCGCACAGGTATCCAATCAGGGCACAGTGGCCAGAGGACTGACATGCGCCTGCTGAGTGCCGGGCACTTCTCTCACCTCCCTCATCCCCTCACCACAGCCCTGGACATCCGACTGGGGGCCCCTTCCCAAGGAGGACACCGGGCCCGGAGAGTCTGGACAGGGTGGGAGCCGCGGTGTGTGGAGCTGTGGTGTCCAGTGTTGTCAGACCATTTCTAGGCCGTGTGTTGTCCAGGGGAGACCCAGGGCCCCACTGTCTGGAGCCAGGGCGGGAGAGCTCAGGGCAGGGAGCCTGGGGCAGGGAGCCTGGGGGCAGGGAGCCTGGGGGCAGGGAGCCCCGTGGGCAGGGAGTCCTGGGCAGGGAGCCTGGGGCAGGGAGCCTGGGGCAGGTCCTCCTCCCTCCCTGCAGTTGTGCATGAACAGCAGACTCGCCTGACTCCCGGGAGAGACATTCCAGGACCCCAGGGATGCCTAAGCCAGGACAGGAGCACCCCTGCACACACTGTAAGTGTTAGGTGGTTTAATCTCCATCAGCACCTGTAAGGAAGGGGCTAGCAGCCTCATGTGCAAATGACTAGACATTTGTCCTGGAAGCCTTGGCAGATGGGAAGGCAGGTAGATGGCTAAACCGCCACCTCACAGCTTCTGCTTGGGTGGGAGGTGAGTATCATGGGAGGGTGCTCCTGGGGGTGGGTGGACACACACACCGGCCACACAAACCCGGTGCTTCGAGGCTGCCTCGACGCATGCTACTGAGCCGCCCGAGCCTCCCTGCCCGTCCGCACAGGGCGGTGTGCTTGGCTGGCGGGGAGCCGTGAGCCCGCATGGAGAGGAGGAGGGGCAGTGCCTAGAGCCCAGCAGCGCGCCCGCAGGGGACTGTGAGTCGATTCCCTCCTTCAGGGGCCAGCTAGGCCCCCCCCATTATTCACTGAGCCGCACCGCGCCAGCCGCACTTACAGGGAGCTCAGAGAGGGAACAAAAGCGTTAGGAGCTGGCCAACGGGAGATGCTGGTGGGAGACAGCACATCATGTAAAGCAGAAACGCATGCCTCTTGGTGATACAATTTTACAAAAAGGTTTTGCCAATATTTGGATTCCCACCCTCTCTTGCGCCCTTAACAAGAGGAAACAGGCCAAACCTGACAGTAATATTCATCTCCGTTCTCCCACCCCTCCAGGGAGACGTGTTTATTAACGCGCCTCTTCCCTTGACAAATTACTAAACAGGAAGGAAAGCCTGGCGCTCACTTCCCGGGCTTCTCCGTGATTTACGACCAGGATGGCGGAGCCGGCCCCCGCCCTGAGGGTGTGCCGTCCCGATGTCCGACGGCTTCCGGGCGGCCAGCCACAGCCGGCCCTCACCTAGGCAGCCCGCTGCCATCCATGCCTGCCGCCGCTCACGTCTAGCCCTGCCTCACCAGAGGTCTTCCTTCTGCGCATCCGCGTTTGTTCCGCCCCGCAGACCTGTGCGCAGTGTGGACAGTATGCCAGGCACTGCTGGAGGCCGTGGGGTCTGCAAGCAAGGAGGGCCCCCGGCCTTGCTCCTGGACTCACCTTCCAGGTGCGAGATGGGAATGGTGGCTCCCCGCAGGCACGATTCCTGAGGTGCCACTGTGTGTGTGTGTGTCTGTGTGTGTGTGTGTCTGTGTGTGTGTGTGTGTGTGTGTGTGTGTGGCTGCATTCCCCGGGGAGGCCAGAAAGGGCAGGAGATGTGGGAACAAGCACTGTACCCAGGCCAACCCAGGTTCCCATCTGGCTGGTAGCTCTGAGCTGGGTGGCTCTGGGTGAGTCACTGAAACTGTAAGACAGGCCAAAAAGCGCCTCCCTCCGGTGGCTGTGGGCTGCTGGCCAGCATATCCATAGCTCTGGGTGGACTGCCTCTGGACCCAGGAACCTGGGCTGAGGGCAGCCAGAGGGATGTAGGGAACCAGGCTCTGAAGGACCCTGGAGCCATTTTTGCTCCAGATGCTACTGTCGTCAGCTCCGGGCTGGGACACACCCTCCCTGGGGGCAGCGGGACGCACCCCTGTGGCAGGTCCTGGGCCCCGAGTCCTCGGTGTGGGGGAGGCCTCCTGCCCGGCCCACTCTCACCCAGACCTTTTCTGGACTCGCTGAGGAGAGGCTCTAAGGACATCCAGCCGAGGACCTGGCCTGCCCACTGAGCTGCCCGCAGCCCCTCCCTGCCCTGATGGGGTGAGGAGGGAGCCTGGGCTTCGGAGCCCTGGGCGGGGGTGAACCTGACCAGCCATGTCCTGCTTCTGCGATGCAGGGCTCCAGCTGGGCTCCTCACTGTGAGTGACTGCCTGGGGCTTGTCTCTCAGGCTGTGGGCAGGCTGAGCGGCGGCCCGCCTGCCGCACTAGCGGTGCCTGAGCAGCAGCTGTCCAGGACCCCGGCCAGGCCTCTCCGCCGGCAGCTGGCCAGAGCTGCCTGCCTCGGGCCGCGGCTGCCCTCCTCCCGCCTCTCTGTGGTGTGATCAATGTAATTGGTTTCTGAAAACCCCCCTGGACCCACAAGCAGCATAAAGAACGGGCGTCAGAAGGGAGGTGACATCCGAGTCAAATTAGTGTCAATATGACAATAAAATATACAGCCCGGCGGAAATATGGGCTGTAAACAGACAGCATTTCAATCGGAAACATCTCCATCTTCCCAATGTGGTGGGAGGGCAGGGAGCGGCGGTGGCGGCTGAGCTGCTGGTAAATCACCGATCTCCGACAGACAGCACGAGGAAATCCCACTTCCGGCGCTGGTGACAGCCAGAGTCCCGCGCTCAGAGAACCCGAGGCAGAGCGGAACCGAGGCCCTGACTGGTTATCCACTGCCTTCCAACGCCCCGCCCGCTCCGTGCTCTCCAGGCTGCAAGTCAGATCCTTTAAGAACCAGAGGCAGCGAGCCTTCGTCCACACCAGGAGGCCGGAGCTCCCAGCGAGGGGCAGGGCTGGCAGGGAGGTGCCCTTTCCTGCCCAAGCCTGGCCTCCCTGGGAGGGGCGTCCACCTCCCTCCTCCCCTCCACACCACCATGCGTTCCCCTATGGAGGCTGTATGCTGGATAAATGAGATTATTTTAGGCTCAGTGGAGACAGATACAGGGACATCCTCCGCAAATATTACCAGGTTTCCCATTTAAAAAAAAAAATGCAAAGTTCCATTTTACAATAGTATCCACTTATTTAACCCCCAAAGGTGAGCCTATTAAAAGTATAATCTATGCTAATTAAAGGTAATATATTCATTAGACCTGGAGAACTTCCAGGAGACCTTCCAGACATCCTTCCGGACAAAGCCTTGGTAGTGGGGCTGAGGCAGAGGCGGTTAGGAGCGATAGGGTGGCAGTTGAGGGAGATCAGGCTGGTAGGGGGAGAGGTCGGTGGGGGGGCATGTGGGCAGGGGGTGCAGGTGGATAGGGGGGGCAGGTGAGGGTGAACTGGCTGGTGGGAGATGGCAGTTGGAGTTGATCAGGCTGACAGGCAGAGTGGTTAGGGGCGATCAGGCAAGCAGGCAGGTGAGTGGTTAGGAGCCTGTGGTCCCGGATTGGGAGAGGATGTCCCAGATTGCAGAAGGTGCAGGCAGGGCTGAGGGGACCCTTCTCCCTCCTCCCGCATGAATTTTGTGCACTGGGCCACTAGTATTACATAAGAATCGTGCAGATGACACTTGTCTGAGGTGAAATTGTGCTCTTGGTTTGCCAATGAGTGGACGGGGACTGCTCTGCTGGATGCAGACCCCCGAGGCCATCCCATACCCACTCTCCCAGGCAGCCTCAGCCTGCAGACCCCAGCCCCACACCCTGGTCTGACAGTCAAAGCCCCAGAAGGTTCTCTCTACCCCACTGCTCTGCCTCCTCTTGGACTGTGAAGGCAGGTGCTGAGAGAGGAGGCTGGGGGCGGGGTGGCCTCAGGGCCGTGTCCTTTGTCCTGCCAGGAGCTTACCGGGAGCAGTGCCACGAGGGCGGACGTGTGGCAGGGCCTCGCTGTGTCCCTCCCACGTAGAATGGCGCCTCACTCCGCCTGAGAAGCTGATATGCTTCCCAGGCCAGAGCTGGAGGCGATGCCCACTCTGCACCCTAAGCCGGGGTGCTGGAAGGACGGATGGCAGTAGTGTGACGACTCAGTCAGTGGCAGCTGACCCGAGCTGGGTGTTCCTGTGCCCATTGGTGAACCTGCCTCCTCACTCCCTGCCCTCCAGTTCTGGGGCACAGCCCCTGTGTGTGACCCAAGGCTGAGGGCCCAGAACACAGCTGCCCTGCCCCAGCCCCGTCCCGGCGCCCTGCACGCTGACAGCTGCTGGCCCAGCTGTTTCTTCCCGAATGAGTTTGCACCTTCCTATCCCAGATGCCTTGTGACTGCCATTCACGTGCGTGCTCACCCACAGACACATAGGCCTGCTCCCTGGCAGCCATGCTCAGACCCAGAGTGTAGACATGGAAGTGCCAGCCAGTGCAGCCTGAGTGCCTCAGGCCCTGAGCGGGCATGGAAGGAGGGGCAGCTGGGCTGGGATAAGACTGGGGAAGTCTCGGGAGATGTGCCGACTGGCCTGGGTGCTAGCATAGTGTAGGACTGAACCGGGCCGGCCTGCAGGAGGGCCCTGCAGGCAGGAGTGAGGCGGTGTCCGGGGGAGTCTAGATGCAGTGAGTGGCAGGAGGGCGTGTGCCCTCCTTCCCAGACTGCCTCTCGGCTCCGGCTCATGCCTGCCTCTCGTTGCTCACTTATCCCCGTGGTCATTCGGCAATCACCCCTGGGGCTCCTCACTGCCCTCGGGGTGCACTTCAAACTGTGACGTGGCTCCAGTGGCCTTCCCATGCCTCATCCTTCCCCGTGTGAAAGAGGGAAGAACATACTGGTGGAAGACACTGACACTAGCATTGGTGCGTGTGGCCCAAACTCGGTCCCTGTGGACACAGTCCTGGCCAGGGTTGGGTATATCCAGACCCGTCCTTAGGGCTCCTTACCCCCAAAGGAGCAGCAAGCACCCGCCTCAGCCCCCGGGAGCACCGTCAGCCCAGCCCACCCCGCTCCCTGCCCCCAGCCGGCCCAGCACTCACCGTCCACTGGATTGAGGTAGTCGTGGAGATGGGGGGTGCCAGCGGAGCCCCCCGTCTGCAGGAGCAGGTCCCCGTAGGACGCGGGGTGGCCCGCCATGAGCGCCACCTGGTGGTAATAGTCTGAGGGGTTGGCACCTGTGGCGGGGAGGCCAAACAGCCCCCTCTCCTTAAGGTGCTCATGGACCACTGTGGGCAGAGGGGAGGGAGAAAGAAAGAAGCCGTCAGAATCTGGCAAAAGAGGAAGCAGGAGAACTACCTCCTGGCCTGAGGAGTTGCCCCGTGTCCTGCGGTCCAGCCCTTGTGCTCTGAGCACCTGTGTGCCCTCCCCTGGCCCCTGTCCGCACGGAGCAGGCCCAGTGGGTGGCATGTTCCTGCAGATGGGAAGGAGGCCAGCACCGCCTCAGCTCTGCATTTCTCCACTTCACCACAGCCACACCCCACCCCTCCTCCGAGCCCCGCAGAAGCCATGGGCCCAGGCTGCAGCGAGGCTTCCGAGGAAAGATACCGACAAAGGTGCCAGGACAGCAGGCTGCCTGGCAGAGCCCCGCGCATTCCAGGTGAAAGCGCAGCCGAGAGCTGGTCGGACCTGGCTAGACGGAGCCCCTCGCCTGCCGCCGGCCACCAGCTCCCTGTCCAGCGGCTGCAGAGCGGCTGTCTGCCTCCGCCCTCACTCAGCCTGCCCAGGCCTTCACAGTCAGGGCAGGCACATGTCAGTTCTCGAGGCCGGAGGGTGGGTGGGATGGCGAGGACCGGCCCTCGGGGCTGTGGCGCCAGGGAAAGGAGGGGGGCTTGGAAATCACACCTCGACAGGGCGAATCCTGGCTGCACCAGGTCTGCAGAGCTGGGCTGTAATGCCGCCCCTCCGGGTCTTACTGATGACAGCAGCACAGGCTGTGCGAGCGCTAGGGGCTGTGCAGGCGCTGCGAGAGGCGGTCACTCTGGTTTCGCTGTCACCACACTGCAGGCAGTTGCCTTCACCTCCCTTAGCACTGAGAGGGCCAGGGGTCCTGCCCAAGGTCACACGGCAGGCGGCTGGGCCTAGAGCTCAAGTTCCCAACCACTGCGCCCACGCCCCGCCATCCGTCCTGCAAATACCACCGAGACCCCTGTGGCTGGAGAGGGAAGCCGGCAGCAGAAGAGGCTTCCTCCTCCCCCTGCATCCCATCCCTCCTTCCTCTTCCTTCCTTCTCCTCCTCCTCTCCCCCATCAACTCTCTCCTCCTCCTCCTCCTCCCACTTCTCCCTGCTCCATCATCTCTTCCTCCTCTCCTCCCCCCTCCCCCATCTCCTCCTCCTCCCCATCTCCTCTGCGTCCTCTAGAGAGAGCCTGGTCTCCAGCCCTGGCACTGTAAGGCCTCTGCCTGTCGTCTGTCCGTGAAGGAAACGCCCTCATCCCCCTCCTCGTCTGCCCCCTCCTCCCTGAAGTCTTCCCCAAGTGCCCATTCACCCTTGGGCACACGTGGTCTGGCAGATGCTGCCTCGTGCCCTCAGGTGCTAGGCTGATGCTGCCCGGGCAGCCTGACAGGCCCCTCAGCCTCCTGGGGGCGGGCCGGGCCAGGGCGGCCTCAGGGTGTCAAGTCCACCGGAGGGGCAGGGTCATGCAAAGCAGCCACAGCCTCTCTGCTGCCCATGGCTCTCGTGGGTGTGGGAGTGGGAGTGGGTAAGCAGGTGTGGTAGGAGCCGCCTCAAAGTTTACGTCAAAATCAGGCGTGAAGCCAGAGCTCAGTCAACTCATGCCTCCTTTGAGGGCAGCCTGTCCACCACGTGGCTCTTCATGGGCCACACACTGTCCCTGGCCCAGAGGTCTCCAGAGCAGGCTCGGCTCCAGGCCTCCTCCTGACACCCCACGCTCCCCCAGTCCCCTCCCCCCAGATGAGTGTGCCCTGGCTCCCAGGCTGTGACCAGTGAGCGCAGCTTGGTGTAACTGCCGCTAGACCGAGTTTCCTCCCTCCGGGCCCGGAGGCCGGAGCCCACACCGGGGGTGGCAGCACCAGCCCTGGAGGCTGCCCGGCAGAATCGCTCCTGCTGCTTCCGGCTGCTGGGGTGCTGGCTAACTTGGCTCCTGCAACGTCCTTGGATGTAAGGCCTGAGTGGACAGCCCGGATGATCTCATCTCAAAATTTCCACACCCACCGAGGCCCTTTCTTGAGCCCGGCTGTGCTCTCTGTTCAGGATGAGACCTGACCTCTCCCCTGGGGGCACCACGCAGCGACGACACCACATTTGAACTTCAGGGCCTGCACGCTGGTGCTCCAGCCGCTGGCACGGGCATCAGGAGGCGGGACGCCGCCCGCTGTCCTCGAGGGGAGGCGGACGCAGCACACACCCCTCACACACCTCAGCTCGGTCCGGGCCAGCCAGGACCACGCAGAGCGCAGGGCTGGGCTCTGACCCTGAGCGGCGGTGTTCAGGGCCCTTTGCCTGGTGCGGTTTCTCCTCAGTGAAGGGGGGAGCGGTGCCACAGGGCACCTCCTGGGCCCGTGAGGCTGCATTCTCACCAGGACACATGGGCCTGGGGCTCAGCTTCACTCTCGGCCGCACCCGGGAGCTGGGGGCGGTGCAGCGAGGACAAGGGACGGGTGGGCCGTGGCCCCGGCCTCTGCCCGCGGCTCACAGTGCCCGCAGCCATGGCCTGACTTCGGCCCAGGGGAAGGTTTCAGTGGCGGGTTTGAGAAGACTCACCTGGTTGCTTATTTTAAAAAATTTTTTTTCTTTTGTCAACTACAGGTGACATACAGCATATACTGGTCTCTGGTGCTCGAGGGATTAGGCATTTATAGATTTAGGAAGTGAGCCAATAAGCCCGGCCCACCCGGCACACAGGGCAGTACTCACCGTCGGCGGGGCTGAGGCCGCGGGCTGCAGAGATGGCGGGGAGCGTGGGGCTGCTGTGCACGGCGCGGAGGTAGTGCTCCATGTGGGGGCTCACGTACGGGTGGGGGGCGCTGAACGGGGACTCCCCGGGGCCGGCCGGGTGCGGGGAAAGCCGGATCAAAGAGATGTCAGAGATGACGGGGCTGCCACTCAGGGCAGGTGGCCTGCAGAGAGAGAGAGAGGGGGCGGGGGGTGCTTCCTGAGGAGGCGCGGCCTGCTGAGGAGGAGCCAGCACTGTCATTCGGTGTGCCAGATCGCTGTCACCCTTTAGGAGCCCGTGAGTGCAGGGGAGCGCCTGCGTGCGGGAGGCTGCCCCGCCCCGGGTGGGGTGGAATGCCCCGCACACAGGGCTGGGCGTGCTGGGCGTGCTGGCCACAGGCTCAGCGGTCGCACCCCTGGGCAAGGTGTCGCCATTGCTTCCCAGGGCGCTCCGGCTGCACACACAGCGGTAACAGGCCAATCTTCGTTGAAGGAATGAGTGTGTGCATTCTGCAAATGTGTGAAAAGCAGAACATGGAGATTCTAACGCTGGAGAAAGAGGCAGAGCGCTCATATCCCTAGCAGACGTGAGGAAAGAGGAGCAGTCTGGCCGCAGCGGGCAGTCCCTGTGTGCAGCGCTCGGCCGCGATCCGCTGCGAAGGAAAAGGTGGAGACCCAAGAGCGCTGGAAGGAGCTGTGAGTAAGTCTGGGATATCATCCCAGCCTCCCTCAGAGGAATTCCTTCCAATGCTACGAATCCTCCCTTCTCAGAGGTCCTGCCAACCGTGGCTGCCTTGGTCCCTCTGGTCCTGGCTGGCACCGCCACCGCCCATTTCTATGTCCCGAGGCCGGCCCTCGAGGAGGTGCCAGCTCTGCCCAACGTGGGACGGGACTTCACACAGGACCCGGGGCCCGTGGGCAGCTGTCGGCCTGTGAGCTGCAGGGATGTGGAGAGGTTACATTAAAGAAAACGCACCACCAAGTCACTTGGGAATGAAACTCACCTAAATTCAGTTTTCAAATGTTTTCAGACAATAGGGTCTCTCTATGACTTGGCAGAGCACAAAAAAAACACACGAATGTGTTAGGATCACACAAACCTGGGTTAGAATCTCAGCCTTTAACAGCTCAAACTGAGCAATTACTTTAACCTTCCCAAGCCTCAGTCTCCTCACCTGTAAAATGGGGATAAACAGTATCTATTTCATAGGATTGCAGGAGGATGAAAGTCCCCCAAAGGGTGACGCAGCTGCCAGCCTGCTGTTACAGCTTCGGCACCGCACTTCGAGGGAAAAGCCCGGAGGTGCCCAGGGGCCCGCAGCCTTCACATGGGGCTGGCGCTGGATGGAAAAGCTGGCACCGTCAGGACTGGTTATTTCAGGGAAGAAGGTCGGCTGGCCGGAGCAGAGCCGGTCACAGAGCCTGCTCAACAGTGCAGGCAACTGCGCTGACAGCACAATGCCAACCAGGAGCGAGCAGCTGACTGCAGACGGCTGAACAGCTGGGCTAACAAGCGACCCGGGGCTGCTCCCCGGCCTGGACGTAAGCATTCTGCAACCTTATTTCCTAGCTTTCGCGGATGCGACTGCAATGACGTGTGGATCCCAGGAACTCCCAGGCCAATCCCATGCTGCCGCACTGGCCTCAGATGCCTTCCTGCACCCTGTACCTCACTGGGCTAATTCTCTGTCCTCCCTGTAAGCCCAGGTCAGGGATCCCCCTCAGTGGGTCTGCCGTCCCCAAAACACCTTCCTGTGCACGGCTCTGCTACCTTCTCCCTCTGCCTCACCAGAGCTGGGCTCTAGCTGGGGGTTACAAGCATCGACTCCCTTCCCTCTAGGCCTCAAGTCAACTTGGGATGTGGCGCACCTGCTGCCCTGGCTGCTCAGTACCCAAGACCGCAGGCCCATCTGCCAGCTGACCATGGGTGCCCTCCAGACACCTAATCCAGGAGGCCCCCCAAGATGGCCCCCCAGCACAGCACCAGGTAGCTGTGCCCTGACCCGGAACCTCCCCCAGGGAGGCTGCCTGGCTGCCACCCCAAGTCATCTGGTCACACAGCCGGAAAGGCTGGGCCGTGGCCTCAGGCCACTTTAGGCCCACTAAAGCCAAAGGCCCCCATTTCCAAGGCAGAATTCCAGCATCACTAATGCATTTGGGAGCTCAGAAGGCCTTCCAGCAGCCCCGAAATCACCCCAAAACTGCCAGCCTACAAAGCAGGTCCTTCTCTTGGGCGCTTTTCTTGGGCGCTTGGTCCCATCCCGGCCTCACAGTCCCGGCAGGCTGAGCGAGGACCGAGCCGTGGGACCGCACCAGCACAGACACCCGCTGGGGAAACCGGAGCCACGGCGTGCGGTCACCCTCCCGCCCACGCCCCGTTTCTCCCTACTTCCAGCCCTGACTGCAGGCCGACCCTGCCCTCAGCTGCGGCCTGGCCAGGCCCTGAATTCTGCCAACTGAGTGGAGACTCAGGAAGTGGCCTGGGGGCTGGCGGAGGGGCTGGCGGTGGTGCTTGTGTTGAAAGGGTTGCAGTCTCTGTGTCGCAGGTGCGCAGGCACGCACACGCTCACGCAGGCCACAGCGCAGGACTGGCAGAGTCCGCCTTTTCACCCTGTGTGGCTTGAACAATACTCTCTGCACTGCCTTCTTCCCCCAGTCCAGCTCTGAGCTCATCAAGCCTGATCCTACCAGTTAGTTCTTCCTATACTTGTTCATATTCCCAACAAAACTGTCCCAAGCACTTGCTCTGTGCCCAGGGCACTACAGGAAGCTCAGAGCCACGTGGAAGAGGCAGCCCTGCACATCAAGCACAGTGAGAGGTTCGGTAAGGACTCCAGCGAGGGACAGACCCCTGAGTGTCTGTGAGTGTGAGGAAAGGTGGAACTCGGGCTGGGTTCTGAAGGATGAATAGGAGATTATGAGGAAGCAGCACGTGCAAGAAAAGGGTGGAATGTAAGGATGTGTGTGTGAAGGTTATGCCTGGGGGTGGAGCACAGCCCACAGGCGCTTTGGGCTGGATCTGTATTGGGCCCAGGTCCCCGCTTCTGCTGGGGGGCAGGAGGGCAGATGTGACTGAGACCATCCCTTGCCCCAGGCGCCTGGGACAGCAGCTGGGGCTGAGCCCTCTGAGAAGGCAGAGCTCTTGGCCACAGGGTTGTTAAGCGAGCAGATCGTTAGTGTGGAGCTGCTGGGGACTGTGAGGGGAGAGGCCAAGATGGAGGATGACACGGACCGTCAGTGTGGAGAGACACAGAACCAGTGTGGAACTGGATCCTGGGAATGGATCCAGCTTCACCAGAGGCTAGTACCTTGGCCTTTCAGTGTCTGAGCCAATACTCTTGCTTGTTTGTTTGTTTAAAGCAGTTTGAGCTGACGTTTTCTGTCGTAGGCAACCGCCAAGGCCTTTCAAGGCAACCTTGGCCAATACCCCCCCTCCCCAGAGCGATCCTAAGAGGCACAGCTCCTCGGCCTGTCCACTCTGCCACCTGCAGGACGTCCTGCCCACAGCTGCTGAGGGCACGACGCTGGCCTCCTGTGTGGCCATGAGACACAGCAGGGGGCCCTCGGTGAGGAAAAACAGTCAGCTACCTCCCGCCCCGTGTGCCGCGCTGGTGACGGCGGCAGCACTGCGCAGGGCCCGCCTCCCAGGCTGGCGTGCGCTTCCTCCGGGCCGGCTCCTCCACCCTAACAGGGCCTTTCCTCTCCCTCTTTCCCTGCCTCCCTGCTGGGAGGGGGTCTTGCAAAGCCCCTGGACTAGATTTGAGGGCCAGGCCCAAAGGCCGAGGCGCTGGCCAGGAGAAGAAAGAAGAAAAAGGAGGAGGGAGAATGGACAACGCAAGTGGAGACCTAGTGGGCCGGCGGCTGTTCTAGCCGAACCGGATGCTGCCCTGGGGAGGCGGACACGGGAGGTGGAGACGGGAAAGGGACACGGGAGGCGGACACAGAAGGCGGACACGGGAGGCGGACACGGGAGGCGGACACGGGAGGCGGACACGGGAGGCGGAGACGGGAGGCGGACACGGGAGGTGGAGACGGGAGGCGGACACGGGAGGCGGACACGGGAGGCGGACACGGGAGGCGGACACGGGAGGTGGAGACGGGAAAGGGACACGGGGAGGCGGACATGGGAGGCGGACACGGGAGGCGGACACGGGAGGCGGACATGGGAGGCGGACACGGAAGGCGGACACGGGAAAGGGACACTGGGAGGCGCTGGCTGAGGGGAGCCCCCACAGCCGTGGATAAAGCCTGGCCTTTCTGGAGTCTGCCCCTTGGCGTGGGCCTGGGTGGGGCCGGCTGCGAACCTGTGTCTGTGTCTGCAGGATGGGCAGGGGGCCACCGGAGGGTGGCAGTGAGAGGGGCTGAAGTCAGCGCGGGAGTGCAGAGTGGCCTGGGCACTGGGTGGCGGAAGGAGTGCAGTGTGGCCTGGGCACTGGGTGGCGGAAGGAGTGCAGTGTGGCCCGGGCACTGGGTAGCGGAAGGAGTGCAGTGTGGCCCGGGCACTGGGTAGCGGAAGGAGTGCAGTGTGGCCCGGGCACTGGGTAGTGGAAGGTGTGCAGTGTGGCCTGGGCACTGGGTAGCAGAAGGAGTGCAGTGTGGCCTGGGCACTGGGTAGCGGAAGGAGTGCAGTGTGGCCTGGGCACTGGGTAGTGGAAGGAGTGCAGTGTGGCCTGGGCACTGGGTAGCGGAAGGAGTGCAGTGTGGCCTGGGCACTGGGTAGCGGAAGGAGTGCAGTGTGGCCTGGGCACTGGGTAGCGGAAGGAGTGCAGTGTGGCCTGGGCACTGGGTAGCGGAAGGAGTGCAGTGTGGCCCGGGCGCTGGGTAGCGGAAGGAGTGCAGTGTGGCCTGGGCACTGGGTAGCGGAAGGAGTGCAGTGTGGCCTGGGCACTGGGTAGCGGAAGGAGTGCAGTGTGGCCCGGGCACTGGGTAGCGGAAGGAGTGCAGTGTGGCCCGGGCACTGGGTAGCAGAAGGTGTGCAGTGTGGCCTGGGCACTGGGTGGCGGAAGGAGTGCAGTGTGGCCTGGGCACTGGGTAGCGGAAGGAGTGCAGTGTGGCCTGGGCACTGGGTAGCGGAAGGAGTGCAGTGTGGCCTGGGCACTGGGTAGCGGAAGGAGTGCAGTGTGGCCCGGGCACTGGGTAGCGGAAGGAGTGCAGTGTGGCCTGGGCACTGGGTAGCGGAAGGAGT